CCCTATCCCTGAGCCCTGGACCTATATATTCAACTACTCTGTAGTTTCACAAGAACATCTGAAAGCATCTAAATTCTATGTGTGCCAATTGATCTTCTCCTCTAATCCCCAAACTTCTCCTCCTTCCATTTCATCCAGTTGCTCAAATCATAAACCTTAAGAGTCATTGTGGCTTCCTCCTTCATCATCAACCGTCACAGCCAATCAGTCACTCTTTCCTGTCTATGGTACAGTCTGTTCTGCTATAATACCCGTTTTGCAAGAGCACATTCATTTCAATGCAGTCAATGTATTAGGAAACAGTCTGGCAGAATGCGAATTTTATCTTTGTTTATGTGTGATTTTGTCCGTAATCAATACCAGATAGGCACAGGAAAGTATACCCAGCTGAAGAGAGCTGTATAAGAATATGCAGAACGCACACATGCTTACACTTCAAACATATCATAGCTTCCTAGAACACTACATGTGTCATAAGCTGCATTCATCTGGCTTCAACTTTCCAACCAATTCCAGAGAACTCTCCTTCTACCACTTCGCAATAACTCACAAGCTGCAACCTTTCTCATGCCTACTGCCAAGCAAACTTCATGGTTTTTTCAAGGTAGAGAGCCATATCTTTTGTAGTATTTATGTATTTCTTAGCCATTTAACATGTGTAAAATTATGCTACCATTTTTATTAGGTTCTTATCTTTTTTCATACGTCACTGATGAAGTTTTTGAGTATTGTGCTCCTAACCCCAATTTTATTGCGACTTTTTTTTACAACTTTTCATAGCACGGTGATTTTTAAGAAGGTCTATGTTGCATTATAGTAGAACTGACTGTACCATTTAACACTCTAGAATCAATCCATTTTTCTACATTTCCACTCCTATCAGTTCAATCCTGGTGACTATCGTCTTTTACCTGGACTGTAGCAATGGTCTAATTCTGTGGTTCTCAACCAGGGACAGGACCTCCCCACTCCCACCCTTGTCTAGGCCACTGGAAATGTATGTGCATATGGTGGGGATGGAGCACTTTTGGTTGGAGGAACAACCTGGAGCAAGGCACTACTAGCAGGACAAGAATGCTACAAGTTCAGCAATGTTGTCCATAATTTCTCCCACCCCAAGATGCCAACTATAGACCCATTAAGAAAAACCAGTACTGATCCCCCCATATCAACACTCAGCTCTCTCTACACTGTAGCCAGAATGAGCTTTTTCAAAATCCACATCAGATGACACCTCTCCTACGTTTAGTAGCCTTTAATAGCTTCCCCTTACCCTAAGGATAAGGATCAAAATCTCAAATGTGGCCTCCCCTTCCAGCTTCATCCCTCACCACTCTCCTCTCTTCCCCACATTCACTATGCTCCAGGCAGTCATTCATTCAACAAATAATGACTAAATATCACTGTGTGCCAGGAACTATTCAAAGTGATGAGGACAGAACAGTGAACAGAGGAGACAAAAATTTTCCACTCTCATGGAATTCACATTCTAGTTCCATGAAGCTCCCAGCCTTCTCCTTACCTCAGGGCCTTGCCACACGCTTGTTAGCGAATTCCTACTCATCCTTCAGATCTCAGCTTAGACACCCTTCCTCAGGGAACCATTCTCTGCCTCCCTAAGTCAGGCCCCCTTATGAAATGATGCCATGACTCTGGAACTTAGCAGTGTTACAACACAATTAGAATTATTTAATATCCATCTTTTCTGTTGTATCTCCAGGCCTAGTACAGTACCTGGAACACAGAGGGCACTCAATAGTATGTGTTTACTGATGAAGATGTGTATGTTTTTATATATATATATCTACACATGTCTTCATGCTTTATGAATATGTACGTATAAACATTCGTGCCTGTGTTATATTTCCAAATATTTCTGAGGGTGAATATGTGACTATATATTTATACCCATATGTATGAATGGAAACATAAATAGAATTTTGGATATGCCTACTTGGGTATATTCATTCACTTGAGTAAACACGTGTATATTCATGCACCTGTGTGTGTGTGTGTGTGTGTGTGTGTGTGTGTGTGTGTGTGTGTTTTCTTCTGGCTCCTCACTGACAGCTCTGACCTCCTGGAGGGAGCTGGGAGCAGGGCCCCAAGTCTTCTCTAAGCTGACAGTTCAATAAGAGTATAAGATCATTCAATGACACTCCAAATGTCAGCAAACACTGGCTTGCTTCACTCTGCTACACGGGAAGTGGGTGGAGGCGGGCAGTGTGGCAGCCTGGCCACTGAGAACCTGCTCTTCCCTGATGCAGTGCACACCATTTCTGGACAGGAGAGGCTTTAGGAAATGGGGATGGTGAATTCAGTCCCAGTTCACTCAATGGCTAAGTCTTGGCAGCCAAACAGACCACAACCCCTACCCCTCTACTTTTTCCATGGGTAAAGTTCTGCTTGTGGAGTTGAGGAGGAGAGGAAAAGGAAGGAAAGTGGGGAGGAAAGAGTCAGATCAAGGACAGGAGAGGGCCCTGGAGACAGTCAGGGCCTGGTCACACTCGGGGAAAGAAGGGCACAGAGTAATACGTTGCACAATACCCACGCAACCCAGGTGATGACCTCTCTGGCTGGCTCTTATTGTTACTATTTTTAAGGGAGCAGGAATCTTTGTGCAGCCTGCACTAACTCATGCTGTAAAAAGGTCAGAAAGATCAACATGCCCCTGGAACTCCAGGGCCCCGTAACCCCTCTGTCTGGAATGGCTGCTGGCAAAGACAAGCCCAAAGTCTGGAACTGAGTTATCTCTCCTGCTGGGCTCTCAGGTACATCTAGAACATGATGTGGCTAGAGGGCAGAGAGGAAGGGATTAGGCCTCTCTAATGCCACTTGCCTCATGCCACTCTTGTTTTTCCTAGACCTGCTCAGTTTACCTAAACACAATCACAAGGCCAACTGGGAACAGGGTCTCCAGTTTCTACTGGTACCCATGTCCCTCCTATAGCTTGGCACAGTCCAAAGAGAACCACGCTGAACAGGCTCAGGACAGCTTGCCTCCAACCCCAGCAGCATCAAGGTAGCCTCGAGTGGCAATGGTAACACACGGGTCGGCTGTTTTCCTGCCTCTCTGCCAAGGAACCTGGAGGCAGGGTTCTATCTGGACACCAAAAAGTCTAGTGAACTTCACAGAGCAATTGTTCATGGTCAGTGCCCGCTTCGCCTGGCCGGGCCTTCACATTGCATTTGCTGAGGCCAGCAAGCAGCCTCAGATGCGCGCTGACAGCTGGCACGCTGTCTTTCAGGAGGGCAGACCCAGCCACACCCCCGTGCAGAGCCCCGCCAAGCCCTGTGTGAGAGGGCCTGTGGAGCCAGCTCTCAAAGATCAGCCAACCAGCCAGCCACTATTCGCTGAGCACGTACTCTGTACCTAGCCCTGGCCTGGCCGCCTCGGACACAGAGAGGAAGCAGCCTCAGTCTCCGTGCTCCAGATGGACAGGTCTGTGAGGAAACACAGAGGGACTCGGTTTCAATACTCAAAAGTCACTGATATCTAATGGGCCAAGGGGTCTCAAGACTAGAGACTGACTGCTGACCTCTCAGAAGAGATGATGCTTGAGCTGAATCCTCAAGAATAGCAAATGCACTTTAGGAAGGTGACCAGGGGCACTCCAGGCAGAGGTAAGGCCACAGGCCAAGACCTGAAGGTAGGACAGAGCCTGGCCCCTCACCCACAGATGGAAGGCAGTAAGTAGCTACTGCTCAGGTCCACGGGAGGTCAGCTGGAGAGGTGGGTGAAGGTCAAAATATAAACAAGGACCAAGGGTAAAGGACCTGAGTACCAGAGGAAAGCAAAGGAGTTCACAAATGATGCCACAAAGAATGGCTGCCCCGAGATGGACGGAATGAAGTCCAGGATCATTCTCCTCTACTGTTCCTCTACGTGTTCACTCAGCTCCAGCCCACACACACACCAAAAGCATGCTGCTCCCCTCGCCTGGAAAGTCTTTCCTCTTCAGATTCATATTCCACCTTCCTTGAATGCCCAGTTCATGACCCAAATCCTTGCAATACCTAGTCTTACCCTTCAATGACCTCTCTCTTCTCTAAGCCCCCCTGGGAGCCACTACTCTGACCCCTGGTGTCTTCTCTCTTCTCTGATTTCCTGGGGGTCAATAAGCTGATCAGCGGCATGGGGTTCTTGAGGCTGCTCCAGGGCTGTTGCCCTTACTTGAGAATTATAGGGGTGAGTCTCTCTAGCAGACTGGGGCTCCAGAAGGAAGCAACCCAACAGAGTGATGGGAATCCCTATCTTAGGAGTCTATTCCTATACCTCCTTTCTTCTGCTTACCTGAGAAGTGTAGCACATATTAGAAAAGTACAGTTTTCTGGGTAATTCATTCTCTGCCAGGCTCTAATTTTGTAGCCACTTGGGGTTCCCTCCCAACCCATAGGCCCAGCATGCACTCCCCAGGGACTTGGTGCTACATTAGGGCCAGACTCCTTCCTCATACTCGAAGGGAATTGGGCTCCAGCTTCCACGGTCCTTCTCACATGAGCAAGGCTCTGCTGGGGCGAGGCAGGACCAAAGCTAGCCTGAACCAATTCTACCTCCTAACCAGAGGGAGATACCAGGGCCACTCAGAATGGTCAGAGGCCACACTCATGATCACATCAAAGCAGGATACTTTCCCAGATGGTCAGCTAGCACCACATCTCTCCTAAAGACAATGCAGCTCAGCCCAATGATTCAGTTCTGAGCAAGAACTGAGAAAGTCCCCTTCGTTGCGACTTCTCCGCACATCTGGATGACACTGCCATAGGACAATGTTATACTCTACCCCAAACAGCTCCCCACTTCCAGAAAGGTCCACTTCCAGTGCATGTTAGCTAGGAAAGAGGAAGGAGGGATGTTGAGAAAAGAGAACAAAAAGAAAAGGAAAAAGGCGACAACAAAAAGAGAACAGAGATGAGTAGAATAAAGAAAGCAAGGGGGGAGGGGATCTAAGGCACAGGAGACCCAGAGAAAGCACCCGAATGGGGCTCAGACACAATACCTTTTTCAGATTAATCCACTGCTTGAAGTAATCCGCCACCGGCAAGCCCAAGTACTGGCACTGGCCTGGGAGCCTACAAGAAAGGGAAAAGAGAACAAGTTGGGAACATCCATGTCCCAGGTATGGAGTGTGAATCTAGGAAATGCAAACACCTCCTCGGAAGGTAACCCATTAGCCACGGGTCCCACCCTGCCCAGGAAAGGCACCCCACCTCTAGCACCCCGGACACTGGGCTGCAGATCTACATGTGAGCACCTGGAGCCTCTCTTCGAACTAACACGAGCAGCCACTATTTTCTGATGGCCTGTAGAATGCTAAGGCTCTTACTTGCATGGGCACGTGATTCCTCAGCACGGCGCTGGGAGGTACCATTGCCTACTTTTTACAGATGAGAAAATAAAATTCAGAGGGGTCACCGAAGGTCCCACAGCTAAAAACTGACAGTGCCAAGAACTGAACCCAGGTCTATCTCACCCCAAAGCCTATGTTCTTTCCAATGTACCAGTTTGCAGTTGTTTTGTTACAGCAGAGAGGCAGGCATCTAAGACGGGAGGAGAGAGAGAAGGAGCATGTGAGTTGGTGATACCTGGGCAGGGGCTCCAGTTCACGTTTAAGTCTCTAGCAAGAGGTTTTCTGCCGACAGAGAAGAGACCGTGCAAAAGGATAAGAGGTCAGAATTTAAACCAAAAGCCCGTTTTTACTTTTTCTTGTAATTTATAAATGGTCTTTCCCTGTAAATAGGATGTTGTACCTGCATAAATCCATTCAACCAATCATTTACTGAAGTTTAATAATAGACAGGCACCTAGAGCTCAAAGCGAAAGTCTCAGCCCCTGCCCCTAAGGGGCTCACAATCTGTTCAGTGAGATGGACAATAAAAGAAACAGACTAAACAGCCTTAAGTTGGAGCACTGGGATACATGAAAACATGGAGGAAGATACCAGAAATATTAGCTGGGACAGAACATAGGATTTTCTCGCTAAAAGAAGAGCTTGGCCTTAGGCAATGGAGAGCCCCCGAAGAGTTGTGATTTACAATGATTTATCTGGGGATGACAAAAACGATACCCTGAAAAAGCTGGATAGTAGCCGAGAGCTAGATAGAGGCTGTAGAAACAACGAGCAAGGAACAGACATGAGATGTGAAGGAGGCCTTGGCAACCAAATGGGATGTGGGGCCCAATGAGAGAAAGAAAGTGGTCTAGAGCCCAATTCAAAGGTTTGTGGCTTGGCTAGCTTCATGCTACTCTCTGAATCAGATAGAAAGACGGAGGCAGGGGCAGAGAGAGGCTATAAGACACCCAGAGCAAATCAGTATTTTAGTCAATTTTACAGCTGTTTCTAAATTCTCTACCCAAATCACGGTGCACTGCTTACTGCCTCACCCCTGATGCACTGCTGGAAGGAGGCACAAATTTGGGAATGCAGCTTTACGTACATGTATGGTACATGGTGGGCACTCAGTGTCTGCTGAGTTCAAAGTGCCCATGAGACATGTGGCAGGCGAATGATATCTACAGAGGTGGCCGCATATTCAGTTTTGAGCAGATGTCTGGACTGGAGATATAAACTGCTGAATCATTAATGTAATTTAAATGAAATTAAAGCCACGAGAACAGATCAACAGGGAAGAGTATGGAGTAGGATAAGCAGAGGGCCCAGGCTAATGTCTCGAAAGTGTTACTGAGCAAATATGCAATCAGGTCTCCCCAGAAGATCATCGCCACACACATGGAACTCATTACTTTATGTAGTAATCAGCTGTAGTTTTAAACTCCTTCAATTCTAGAACATCCTTTCCTGATACTGAACTAAGATCTCTCTCTATAACTTCTGCCCATGAGTCTTTAGAAACTGCACAGAGAGACTTCCATCTCTTTCTTACAGAATACTCCCAAGATCTGAGGGCCCAGGAAGCCTCCTCCCCCAGGGGTCCCTTCTCAGCTCTTCCAGAATTCCACAGCAGGTAATGTACCATGAATCAGGACTCAACCAATTTACCCTCATTCTAGAGGGCAGAGCTTCTGGACCTTTTTCAGGGTACCAGATACCCAGAGTTACACATGTACTTTTGACCTCAATTTGTGTCAAGCTGTGGTCAACCTAAACAACCTAAAAGCACATTTCCCTTTTCTGGAATATATATAACTGATTTTTGAGCTTAAATTACAGGTCATTAGTGTCAAATGCCACAGAGTGGTCAAGCAAGATGACAGCTGAGAAAAATCCAATGAATCTGGCATCAGTGGGTTGGCGGGAGCAAAAGGTAGCATGCAACATGTGCAAAGGTGAGTAAGAGAAAAGAAAGTGGAGACCACAGTGTAAAGTCCTTCCTGAGGAAATATGGTTAAGATTCCAGTTAGGATGACTGGTTCCAGCCCAGAAAGTTCCAGGGCAGTCCAGCCTCCCCTCCATTACTCCATTGTTTGGCAAACACTGAGAGGAAACTGATGCCAATGTTTAAGGCAGTACAGTAAGAATTCCCCTTAGTTGAAGGGGAGGTCCCTCTCAAATATCCAGGTGGCACAGGAACATTAACTACAACCAGTCAATTTCCCAGAAAGAAAGTTCTGGTTGAGACCATGATGAAGGAGTATCCACACAGCCCGTCCCCACGTGGGAACCGAGGACCAAGAATATAAGGATACTAGGAAAGGTTTTGAAGGCTGAAAGATAGCCTTAGGAGCTACAATTTGATTGCTTAAGGAGAACTGTATTGTTTGGATAACTTTCTCATTTCCTTCCATTTTTCTTTTATGTTCCTTATCCTTGTTATTTGTGAAAATGTTTGCTGAGCTCAGCTATTTTTGAAAAGCTACATTAGTCTGTAAGTGAAGGGGCCACCAGAAGTAGCAGAATCTGCAAAGGACTAGGTCGGGGGACCAGCCAGCCAAAGGCAGGGGTCCTGAGCTACCTATCATATTCTCCCTTAGCCATTCCCAGTGCCCTGATTTTTTTGGATGACATGGACCAGGCGTCCTACTGGCTGTGGCTTACACTGGTGGGGGGGGCGCAGGGAGGGATGGGGGTGGTGGTGGCTCCCTCTTCAGCAAGATCTCAAAGGTAGACATTTCTACCCAGGTAGGAAGGTCTGGCACAGTAGAATCCTACCTGACCCTCTTGGAGGAGGGCCTATATCAGACGGGCCACATCAAAGACAGACTAGACAGACCATCGGGCAGGTTGGTCAGCCTCTGATACGGCTCAGCAGCAGCCCTGCACGTTATCTGTACCAGTGGCTGACTGAGGCAGGGCATGATGGGACTGTAATTCTCGCTCAGGCTCCAGGACTTGCAGGTCTACATGCAGTCTGCAGACTCACAGACACTCAGGTTGCGGAGTCCTTCAGCCCGTGGCTGGTCCTAGCCCTGTGACTCCAAGGCACAAGCAGTTGAGATGCAGCAGCGTCCAGGCCCAGGTCCGCAAGAGACACAGAGCCAAATGCAAAACCTGAACTTCCAGTTACCTCATGGGAAGACAGCTACACATTTCTATGACAGAACCCTACCCAGCTCAGAGAGAGCACCAAGAGAAACTGGGTGAGAAAGGTAGGTCAGAGTAGTTGTCATCCCCTACATAAAATAGGAAAGTGATGCCCAGAGAAGAAAAAGGATTTGCTTGATCACACAACAAGCCAAGGGGAGAACAAAAAGTAGGACCTCAGGCTTCCGACTGCACAAGGCATCAGTCACGCACATGCACATGGAGTTCTTTACAGTCCCTAGGAAGGCCAGCACTGGGGCCTCAGAGAGGCAGGTAGCATGGTAAGCATGGTGGTTACTGCTCAAGGTCACACCTGGCTCCAGGGTTCTTAGGAGCCTAAGGCTACAGTCCGTGGGTAATAGGGGGTACATGGTTCTACGAATTTGGAAAGGAAGAGGGCAAAAGTCCCCCTGGCATAAAGGGTCTGAAAGCCGTGAGTTCCTACCAGATACTGATCCCAGGAAAAGAGCCACTGGCAGTGGGCCCTGGACTAGCCTGCGGGCATGAACGTGCAGGCAGGTTTATGGTGCCCAGGTCTCCGTGCAGCTGGAATCACTGGGCACAGAGCTCCTCAACTGCCCAAACATCATCTGGCCATGCTTATTACTGTTGCCCAATGAAATTTTATGCACCGAGTCCACAGGTGTGATTTCCCCTTCTTTATGAGGGTCGGAATGACATCACTGATGGCCAATAGAAAAGAACCAATTATGTCCAGGCCATAAAAAGGAATGAGATTTTTTCAACCAAATCAAAACTTCCTTCAGCTTCATGAATGCAAGGGGCCCCCTTTAAGGAAGGGCCCCCCAGTCCTGCCGTGGGCTCTAAACCGAGGGATTACGATCGCTTTCCAAATACTGTGGGGCCTAGGGCTGGAGAGGGGTACGCCTTCCGCATTCACCATGTGATGCTGCTCCTATCACACCGGGCCCTGGGGTCATCAGCACAGAACATCAAACCCTCCTCAAAGATGCCTGATTAGCTCTTCACTACTTCAAACTCCAGGCAGGAGTTAAAGATGAGGTTCTTCAAGTTCCCTTATTACTCCTTCCAAATAACAAAAAAGAAAGCAAAGAGCCCTCCCCCACTTAGAACAGTGTGGGAGGAAGAGGGGTACAAGAAACTGCCCCCTCCAATAAGCATAGGGCACAAAGCATAAGGAACCCAGCCCTCCCCACCCACCCCTCATCCAGCCCCACCACCTGCAGCCCAGCGCTTGGGCTGGGCCCAGACAGCCCTGATGGCAAACAGGTGTGACCAGCTCGGCGCCAGCCAAGGCAGGGGACTAGCTCATTAAGGGAACACCACCCTCGCTAATGGGTAAGGGCAGGATGAAGCCATTGTGAACAGTCGCTCAGCTTTGAAGATTAGGTGAAGCAGAGCTGGGTGCTCTGCTAGAACTGCTAGCCTTGAGTTGAGGAGGCCGGCAACATCTGAGGAGGTTGGACAGACACCAACAGCCAGGATGAGCAGGAGCACAGGCACCAGTGCTGGCAAAGGTTATGCACGAAATTCCTTCTGCGCTTTTCTAAGTCTAAGGAGCAACTCCACATGAGGGAGATATAGGTCACTCGCACTTTTAGCAGACCT